CCTAACAGGTCAAGTCTACCCCTCAAACATGATTTACTTACTATCAGGGAGGAAAGATGAAGGAAACCTTGAAGAAGAGGACACCTTCTTAGCAGACCTATTGAGAAGGGCGACCTTGTGGGTAACATGGAAAGCGAGGTGCAAGGGTACTTTAGCGGACCAAAACACTAGCGTGGACGAGAAGTGGACCAAAACCAAAATCATAGTTCAAACGGAGATAAAATCCCAATGGAACAGGGAGCAAATGGCTCAACAAAAATTCTGCAACCAGAGAAAAGGGAATTGAGTCAGCGAAATTTCGAAAGAATCTGTCTCAGCAAGAACAGAATCGCGGAAATAGAGAAAGGCAAAATACTGTTCAAAAACTGGGACTAAAAAGAAGAACAAAAGCCTAATAGGGATTTAAAGCGTTATCAAATGACAGCAAGACACTTGCTAACACACCTTACCGGGCTAGTAAGACACTTTCCTGGGTTACGACCAAAGGTCAAAACACGAGACGGGTTGAGAGACACATGGCACGGTAGAGAGTGCAAGGGTCGCCCCAAACCGGGACTAAAACGCAAAACCAAAATTTGCAATGGCTAATCGCCTACGCAGCAGCACCAGTGAACCAATGGCTACACACTAGGCGAAAGGGCTTGGATCCCAATAGTTCGGGAACTTGCACAGTCTGCACGGAGAGGGCGGCAGAGGATAGTTCACTGACTAGTTTATTGCAAAGAGGCGACAGAACACTGGGCGAGAGCCTCGGCTCTCTCGGACTCCCACTCCTCAACCCCCTTCCCTGAGCAACCCATCCATCTTCCCCTCTCGACTAACATCCCCGACCAGGTTCGAAAGGCAGAAAAGGTCTGGTTCAGACTCATCAGGAAAGCGACGTTAAGGATCATATGAAAAGAGAGAGGCAGCAGAACAATTGAAGGGCGGTCCAGCCCATGGGAGAAGGCTTGGGCGGAAACCAGAACGATGATACAAGACGAGATCCTGTGCAGGTGGCGGAAGATCAGGCAAGTCTGGGCAGAAGACGAGGTACAGCGAAAGAGCGAGAGACCGAGGTTTTACAAGAATTGTTGGATAAATAGGGAACATTGCAGAGACACGAGAGGCCCGTATCTGCTGGAAAGAGCGGCTAAACTCAGTGCCACAAAAGAGCTTCCAACAACGGTCAACGGCGATTGGACCAATCACTTCTGGTACACGAGATGACTGCAATTACTGAAAAGACTGGCTTATTTCAAACTCAGGAAGAGACTATCGACAACAGATAACTGTGGGTGGGCCAAACACCTCCTATTCAGACCTACACGGGAGTTTGACAAGCCTAAAATTTACCGAAGCTATGGTTGGATTGAGTGAAGATGGAAGGATGGCTTCAAAAGACCAGAACAAGGGAATAGGTTGACTCAAAGGGATGTTGGAGCATGGGTACACAGATTGAAGGTCTGGGGTTTAGGGTTTTAGGGATGCTTTTAAAAAAGGGGGGGCAGATAAAAGGGGACAGGGGATATCACGCCTCAAGGGCAAGTGTGGGGAGGACACAGGCCAGCAGGGACAAAGGATGAACTCTTTCTAGGTAACATAGCACTATCAGGCGGCATGGCCCCCAGGTTCGAGAGGAAAGAGAGGGCCAAGGCAAGATGACAATCGATCCTCCACCAAGGTGGAGCAATCAATGCTGTTCAGGGGCCCTTCGGCCAAACGGAAGGAAGCGTGTGGGTTTTCTATCTAACGTATAGACTGGAAAAAAAAAAAAAAAAAAAAAAAAAAAAACTGGGTAGATACCCCTTACTCTGTGGATAATATGGAAAAGAAGGTGCAAGGAAACTCTAGCTTCTCAATCTACATCAGAGCCGGAAGCCTGGCAGAATCTCCTTCAATTACTACAGCACGAATATCAAGCAGACTGGAACAAAGCGGCGAAGCTTATAAAATTAGACCCCACAAGGCAACAAGAAATTATCGACAAGTTTAAAAACGAAAGACTGGGTGAAGGAAAGCTAGGAGACATTGAACGTAATACTCCAAGGTTACCCTGGAAAATAGCAGGGACCCAACAGATAGATCAACAGGAAGAGACAGAAAACCAGATGTCATTAGTTCAAGACCAATCACAGGTAATTAACGTGGGATTGGGATAAGTAGAAGGACACTCTAAGAGGAACATGAACGAGAATAGGATAGAAATTTCCCCTGTTTGACTACAACAGTTTTTACATTTTGGACTACAAATTGTTATGGCGAAGTAACATTAGAAAGGAAAAAACGGAAGATTTGATAATAAATATATATCAATATGGAGCCAAAATAGATTGAATTAGTTGCGTCATGTATTCAAGAATGTGTATAATAGAATATAGAAAACAAAAACTGAAAAGCTTCATTTTCTATTCACCGCCTGATTAACTGCAAAGAAGCTACAGATTATTGGGCAAGAGCAGCAGCCCTATGGGACAGTCTATTCTCGTCTCCCCTCCCAGAACACCTCCTTCAACTGCTCCTCTGGACTAACTTACCCTCTAACCTTGACAAGTCGGATTGGTTCGGTATGGTACGCAAGGTCAGGCTCTGGGCAATATGGAAAGAGAGATGCCGCAGAACTCTGGACGGCACGAAGAATCCACGGGAGAAAGTGTGGGCAGCAACCAAAGAGATGATTGAAGCGGAAATCCTGTGTCATTGGAGGAAGGTCAAACTGTGGATACAAAACAGTCTGGAGACAGCACAGGTGACACTTGCCAAATTCATACAGGTCTGGTTGGTAGGGGGCAAAGTGGCATGGCTGAAAGGGCAGGTTTTAAGATGGAAAGAGTGGCATAATTCGGTCAATCCTGCTTCTCAGCAGGTGCACGAGGAACCAACTCCAATCTGGGCCTAGAAGAACGTCCAAGATACACGAACGGCAGCCGATGTTTCACAGGGAACAGATCACCAAAGAATTCAGGGGACGACAGCACCCAAAGGAATGGAAGAACTCAGTAGTCCGTCCTTCAGGAATCTTGTTTTCATAGAGTCAATGTGGCAGCTAAGGGTAGCAAATACTGGCAATAGCTGAGAGGATTCCTAGAGGGATCGCAAGTTGACAGTCAATTCTCCATATGATTGGGGCAATCAATGCTGTTCAGGGGTCCTTAGGCCAGACGGAAGGAAGCGTTGGTGTGTGAACTCTTGTATCCTATGACTTGACGGGGGGAAGGAACCGGACAATTAGAAGTTTCGTTAAAACTATAGCTGAGGGTTTAGGGTTTAGGGTTTTAGACAATCAAGGCAAATAGGGTTCAGAGTGGTAGGGATCTCATGAGGCACATGGGCTGAGATCAGAGTTTAGACAGAATTGGCAGCCATTGCAGTGTCCAGGCCCTTTCTTGCCATTTATGTTATATCTGACAGGCCATTATAGTGGACCTGAGAGGAAAGGGAAAAGCACGGCAAGCTGACAGTCAATCCTCCACGATGCTGGAGTAATCAATTGCAATGACTTGCTGGTTCCACGTTGCCCATAGCCTCACTCTGACGAGGCTGTACCATAGTTAGGGACAGATTCGTAATTTTGTTTGGCTGAGGACTAACCGAGAGACCTGCCTATATGGAAAATTCGTGAGGGACATATCTGTAAATATAGAAATATGGGCCCAGTACTAACTCGATTTTCCCTACAGCTACCCTAACTGCGAATAGCAGACCCGGGCTACCCCTAGGACAGACAGGCCCTATGGGCCTACGCTGATAGACGGTCCTATAGCCTATAGCCGGGTAGGGAGAGGCCCTATAGGCCGAAACAGAAATGGTACCGGTCGGTCAGTCAGTCCGGTCTAGGTCGGTCTAGGCTAGTAGTAGAGTATAGATAGGATGGGGACATCGGTCCTGGGCTTTTGGCAGTTGACACTTCGTGGTGGAAGTTGCTACGCACACGGTATCAGGTCGTGGTTGCTGATTCCGGTGGTGGAGACGGCGGACATAGCCAGACCTTCGGAGCGCTGACCAGACTGGGGTCAACGCTGTCCGCTCTGACTCTCTGGGAGTCAAGGCGGTCTGGGCTATCAGGAGGTCTGATGCGTTGGAGCACGTGGTGAACTGCTGACCCTCCTCAGGAGTAGGGTCCCAGTGGCGATGCAGCCATAGCTGCATCTTCTCAGAGGGTATCATCGTCTGGACTTCATCTTCATCAGGGACTGTTGGCGCTGAGCTTCTTCTTCATCATCTGGGTGGCGACTGGCTCTGGGAGCCTGTTTCACTTTGGTGCAGGCCACTGAGTTGGATGTCAGGGTGGCGCTGGGTGTTACCTGGGGTTTCGGTGCTAGTTTTAGCTGTTCCGTGTGGTGGGGTTGAGGCGCTACCCCTCTGAGGGTAGCGCAACAGGGTTCTGAGGGTATTCTGTAAAAACGGTGCTCTGAGTTTAATAAACGGTTGTAATACTGCGTTTGAGTTGTCATCTCTTCATTGACTTCTGGCTGTGATCACTCGGTTGTCTTCTATGAATGATTGTTGGGACCTGTGTGGAGAGAATTCACAGTTTGTGTGTTCTGTCACTTCGCTCCTCTGAGTCTTCCGATGCGTTTCTTTCTGTTGGGCGGTGTGGTACTCCACTACCTCTCCCCTTCCTTCTGTGCATGTATGGGCGTGTATGGGAGTTTCTGTGAGTGTTGATAAAACTTCAACAGACAATCATGTTCATAACACAATGCTGGTCAGGGTTCCTTCAGCCAGATGGAAGGAAGCGTACGTGGGTTCATGATGTAATATTTATTCTGACTTGCCGGTGGAATAGGAACCGGACTGATGCTCCCCAGAATGGAAATGGAGCCAGGACCATTAAAAAAAAAAAAAAAAAAACTGCGCAATTACACGATCTGAAAAAAAACAATAACATCACACCTTCAACATGCATCTGATTGTGAATGATGGGAAGCAGTCAATCATATGATTTACCACGCTGTAGCACAGGTTCAGGGAATGGAGGGCCTACCGAGGAGAACTGTAGGTGTGTCAGCCATGGATACCATCTAGTCTTCGGCTCTTTGCTTCCTTGCTCCTGGCTGTCCTGCTCTGTGAGCTTGCCACCATCCTCAGGCATTCCATATTTGTGTGTCTTCTGCTTCTTCCTTCCTTCACTAGCCGCCCTACAGCAGACGGAGGCCAATAGTCCCCTCGATCAAGATAATGTAACCACTTGGATTCACACTCCAATCATATGCACAGTGAGAGTTCACAAGTCCAGAGACAGAGAGACCAGATTAGCGCAGCTTAGAAAACTTCAATGAATGATCATATTATACAAAATGAGAGTTCGAGTCACACAGCCCTCGTTCAGCACATTAGCCAGCAGCTTTAATCAGGTATGTAACTTGGTTCTTCCCTCATCTCTCTCTCTCTCTCTCTCTTCGCTTGTATCACACAACCTTACTGTCTCCCTCTCTATCTCACTCTGGAACTCTCAACCTCTTCTACTATGAGGATCATACCCTGGATACATTCGCCTTCCTACTTGTGCTGTACTACTACTACCGCAGCTATTGCTGCCTGTCCTCCACAGCTTAGCGCAGCCCAGCAGGGCTCCCTGGCGCTCAGTGAACTCGCGATAGCGCACAAGAAGCCAACAGCGCCTCCACCTTCTCGCGAGTGAACAATCTGTCTGAATAGCGCTGGGCCAGTATTTTATGCTGACTGCACTGAGCTTTCGCTTCACTTGGCCACCTCTTGACTTGGCCTGGGCCTGATTTTGACTGGTACTGGTTGCCCGCGGCCTGTTGCTGTTTGGAATTTTGAGGCCCGGTACCTTCCAGACTTTTCTTGGAGTGGTGCTGCATTTGGACTGTGGGACTTGACTTTGAGGCCAGGTATGGGTTAATTTTTTACCTGTGTGGCCTGTGGGGTATCCGACACGACCTTTTTCTGTTTCGGCCTGTTCGGCCTCTTTTGACTTGGGGACGTCGACCCTGACAGTTGAATTTTGGGTCTCCAAATAGGAAAGCATTTCACAAACCTCAATACCAACATTATCAGCATTCGTTTTCCCCTCATCCTTGCTGCATTCCTTTTCCCCTCATCCTTGCTGCATTCCTTTTCCCCTCATCCTTGCCTATGATTCCCTGTCTTCTGCTCGCACCCTCGCTGGGCGCTTTCTTCATAAGATGCACTTAGTTGATATTGTCCATGATTCATCACTAGCCAACAGGATTCTCAAAATACTTGATCGGCCGAAGAAACAACACATTTTTGGCAATCCACACCGTTGTCTTGCTAGCAATATCCGCTTCAATAATTCATAAATCATTATATTATTGATACATATATCCATAAATAATAAATATATTTTCTAAATATTAAAGGATAAGCAATTCACAAATCATTATTGATACAATTTGTTTGACAATATAACGTACATCCATAAATATCTTTTCTTTTCTTTTTCTCTTTTTTTTTCTTTTTAAACAACACAAGGCCCCTTCTATTCTGAGGGGCAACAGTCCGGCTGCTTATCATCGGCAAGCATGTTTGTACATCCATAAAAATCTTTTCTAAATATTATAGGATAGACAATTCATAAAATTCATATATTTTTGCTATATATCCTAAATATCTTCTCTAAATATTGTAGGATAAATAATTCATATAAGTCATTATATTATTGAGCCATATATCCATAAATGCATTCAGGTAGAGCTTTATAGTTGAAAAAACGGTTTTCTCCTATTATGGTGACAGATGCAGTACCCAGGGCTCAATCCCTAGATCTTACCCCTCACCCGTGTACAGACCCCGTCGACCCGTGTGTTTTGAACCCGCGACCTGTCATACGTTCGGCTGTTGTAAATAGTGTGGTCGCTGGGGTTTGACCCGTAGGTCTGTGTTTTAGGAGTCTTAGCAGTAGTATAGGTCGTATCTGCTACAGTTCCAAAAGGTCAAGTCTACAACCTTCCGGAAGCTCCGGAACTGGCTCTTCGTAGGTCCTAGGAGTCAGCCCGCGGTTGAGTCAGCAGAGGGCAGTTCTACTTAGTCCAGTCAGCGGTACCCAGTCCCAGTCGCACTTTGTCCAGTCAGCAAGTACCATGTGGGACTGTGAGCACCCCGGGCCCAGGGTCCAAGGGCAGACCCGCAAAGATCCAAAGTATAAATAAGGAGGCAGCGTGAAGTCATTCATTCATTCTACCTGTGAGCCGTGTGGAAGCGCTGTCGGAGCATCTTGTGCTACGGAGGTCTGCAGGTGCCCGAAGAAGAAGAGGGCTAAGAGAAGGTAGAAGAAGACAGCCATAGCTGCCGTAGGTTAGTGATAGAGAATTAGTCTGTGTGTACTGTGTGTGTGTTTGCGGGACAACCAGGGTGATCCAAGACTGAGTGTGTGCGAATAACTTGTGGTGGATATAGTTGATCGGGTGGGAATATTTGTCTGGCGCTCTGCGACATAGCTATCCAAGACAAGTTTGAATTTGAGCTGTGTTCCTGACCACGTTATCTCTGAGCTTTGTGTGGGCGCTATGAGCCACGTGTGTTTATATTCTCTTGTTCTTCTGAATTTTGGAATTTTTGGAAGTTCTTCATTTTTACTGGATCTTGATGGTGACTATCGATGGAAATCTTCTTGAGTAATTCATCTCCTCATCTATATGCGGATTGGTTCATCCCCTGTCGTCCGGAATACTGGTCCCGACGGCAGGCCTGCTAATTAAAATTATTGGCCCTCCAAGGCAAAGAGACGATTACTAGTTAGCATGCCTGTGTGGGACTGCCTCGTTATCCGCCTTTTGCCTCTTTACTTTGAAGTACTCTCACTGCTTCTCGCCTCTCGATTTTCCCTTTCGTCTTTTTCTTGATTCCCATCGGTCCTCCTTACTATATGCCTCGCGATCTCTGTGCTCAATCGGAACCGCACTATCTAGTAGGGCGTTCCGCCTGATTTTTTTAATGGGGCATATCCGGATTTGCCCAATTCTGAACTGTCCTGCTCCACCTGCTCAGCCAAAGGAGACACAAATTCAAAATGGTGATGTGGGATTATTCTATGAGAAACTTCCTGCTGGATTGCCTCCGTTTTTCTTTTCTTTCCTTTTCTTTCCTTTGTTTTCTTTTCTTTTCTTTATTATTTTCCGGGTTTGTCTAGTACGTGCAATCAGACTCGTTTTCAAACACACTTTTCACACATGTAAACAGTAACGCAGCACACTGGCGACATGCGCCCACTCAAAACTCAGAGATATGGTTTTCAGATACGAGTTCACTCCCAATTGGCTATGGCGACCTCAGCGCACAAACATCTCACTGTTCACATACACTGGATCACCCTGGATATCCCACACGCATCACTCTAACACCCGAGCACACACACACA